GGTGGCAGCTGAGCACATAATGTGGTATCAAAAGCCTGAGGCATCACTTCAGGCTCTGCTACTGATCTGCTGAGAAACAGACTCCATCTCCACAGGCCTCAGTTTCCTTATCTGTTAAATTGTGAGAAAGGCCTGGGACTGACATCATCTCCCAAGGGAGACTGCAATGAATTACCTGCATACCTACAATGTGCAGGGCTGGGAGTCAGGGTCCCTGGAGGGTTGTGCTCCAAGCAGGCACAGGCCAGGACTAAGGCTGACCCCCCACCCCCTTTCTCTGCCAGAGAAGGACCCAAACCGTTACGTTCATAGAGCCCTCACTTTTGAGGGTGAAGAAGGCTCATCATTCACATAACTCCCTACATTGCCTTATTTACACCTAACTGGTATCTGGCAAACTGGAGCTGGTGACAAAGGACAGGCATGGTCTGTCCTAAGCTGGCCTCTCCTTTCTGGTCAAGAGTTTTTACTTGGGGTGGGGGGGTGGGCAGGGGAAAATGGGACACTTCAGTTTATACCTCATTTTAGCTGCTGTACCTGAATTTATTCTTCCTCCTCTGGTAAGAAAGTGACTGTACTTAACACCAAGCAAATAGTGAAAATTAAAGCTGTTTCACTTCACTGTCACAATATCTTTCTTTTATTTTTTTTTTTTAATTTTTTTAAGAAACGCACACAAAAACCGTGCAGAGTGCTTCAGGCTTATGTTCTGGTTTATATTACCAAAAAAAACCTCTTTTCAATATAAAAAAGCATTACAGTAGGGAATACAGGATAAATTAGCTCCACTATCTAATAAAAAGAACATTTACAGTTTTTTTAAAATAGATTTCAAACATTATTTCACACACAGCCCTTTTCCCAGGCATTTGTGACAGTCACTGGAGCATTAAATACCAGCGGGGAGGCAGGGGCAGTTTGCCACTCCTTCCATCCAAGGTACTCAGGCTGTGATCACTGTGCTACAGAGGTGGCAGCACAGCAGCTCCCTTGAGTCCCCAGCCTGCCCAGAGCTCTCCAGTGAACAATGAACACTAAAATAAACCCTAAAATACTCACCAGAGCTGTTGAAAACAAACAAACAAAAATACAGTTGCTTCTCCTGCCTCCTGTTCTGAAAACTACTGTACACCAGAGGGGGCAGCCACATAACCAAGGGACAAAACCAACAAATTTACATGCTTTGCAATACAGCTGGAGTCTGCTTTCTGGGCTTTCTTGTTCGTTAAGTTCCCCCGGGGAACATTCCTTCTGCCTGTTACCAACTTCCACAGGTCCTCTGAGACTTGCACCTAGCTTTACAGCTCTCTCAGTTCTTGTTTAAACTGTGTTGCCTGGCCTTTGCTGGGGTTTCCAGCTGCGTTCCCAGAGGCATGCTAGCCAGCTGCAGAGAGGATCTGAAGTCTTTCTTCATCCAGAAAAGAGCAATGGGGGATCAGACAAGGTGAGAGAGGAGAAACAAACAACTGTGCAAAGGCCGGAATAACAGAGGAGTGAGAGAGCCTTTTGAAGATACAGGGACTGCCATTAGGGAGAGAGAGGGCAAGTGAGAAAGCCAAAACCAGACAAAAGGCATGAGTACAGAATTGGGAAAGAGAAACAAGCAGGCAGAGATCCCACTTGAGGCATGTGTATCTATTTATCATTCCATGCTCTAGCTGCTTTGGCCCTGACAGTTTTTTCCCCCATGCCGCTGGTGGCAGAAAAAGGCTTTAAGGCTTTTTCTTTTTACCTTCAGCCACCCACCATGCACAAATCAGGATATTCACCTGCCAGGCTCTGACCTGAGACAGCCAGGCCTTTGCATAACAAACTGAGGGGAAAGGAAAAAAAAATTGGAGACGTGGGGAAGGCAGTTCTACTTCTTTCACTCAGCCCCAGCCAAATTACCATCTTTGCTGACAGTTTTGTTCATCCCCTGGGAATCACTCTTCTGGAATAGTCACTGACACCAGCTCCTGAGGCAGAAGCAAAACCGATAAGCTCGCCTTCTGCTCGGCCCATTCTCTGCGCAACTCATAGATGCAACAGATTTTTCCTATCTTAAGAAGTGCAGCACCTGCTGTCGGGTACAAATACTGCTGGTTTTTGGCTAGCAAAACTTTCCCTTCATTGAACAACAGACCAGAATTTAATGCTAAAATGCCTCGTTAAAAGAAGGTCCAGAGGGAAATAGTTCAGAAAAGCTTTCCACAAGGTTTAATGCAACATCTGAGGCCACTCAGCAGCCCTGGCTGCCTCTTTCATTGCTGGAATATGCTGACTGTGGCACAGGGGGGCTGCAGCTCTACCTGCCCGGGCCCTCTCCTGCTGATGAGCAAATTGTTATTCTCAAATGAAGTTTGGAAAAGCTCTAATGCCTCTTTCCTGGTTTTAGTATCCTGATTCCCCAACCTGGATATTTAGCCAGGAGCTTTGTCTATTCTGGACCAGGCTTTCTGCTGCTTTCCTTCCTTCCCTGCAGCCTGTGCAGTACCACTGGGAGAGCTGCAGGGACACAGCCTCCACAGTGTAAGGGAACTGCCAGACAATGTACCCGCTGCTGCAAAACGAGGGCATGAGGTTACTGCTCGGTTCCTCGCTGCTGCCTTCTACCCCATCTCCTGCCTTGCCAGCGGTTACAACTTTCAGAGGGGCTGGTTTAAGCCTATATAAAAGTGCTCCACAATCTGAGCCTATACAATCTGTAAAAAGACCTAAGCTAAACAAGAAACCACAGCCCCTTCTGTCCTCCGCCAAGTAAAATGAGTTTGGGGTCAGGGAGTGACGAGATGAACAATTAAGGCAACTGGCGGTGATGATTCCAGAGGAGAGAAACCAGTGACCTGTCCAGGTCGATAACCACGACTACTAGAGCAGCAGCTGGAGCAGTTTAGCTGCACGTTGCATGCTCTTAGAGCCTGCCTGTGGTCTCAGCAGTTCCATCTTATCACTGACCAAGGTCCAGTCCCAGGCATCCTTCTGAAGTTCACTCCAAATGATTAAGTAGATGACATGTTAGTTAAATGTCAAATTATCTCAACGGAGGAAACACTCTCAACTAACAGGCAGATTAAAATAATTCTGACTTGATGCTTTCATCATGAGCCCATGGGAGAACCTCAGGGGAAATCCTCTGAGCAGAAATGACGCCACCAGACTGTTTTCAGACAAATAGCATGGGAGTGGCTGACAAACCTCAGCCTCCTCCAGCCATGCACCATGCCTGGACCTCCCCTTAGGGCTAGAGAGCATGTAACAACCACTGCAAATACTTATGCTAACAGAGCACCACAAACTGTTTTTTGCAAGTATGAAGGGAAAGGCAAAGGCTGACAAGACTTAAACACTATTTCCTCCACTTCTCAGGAAGGTAGCAGTATCAATGATTCTTGACCAGAGCCATTATTTTTCCCAGGAGATGGGAACACAGCAGGGAATGATTTGGTCTCTTTCACAACAATGAACAGTAAATCTTAGTAAAAACAGAAAGGTAGGCACCAAACTCTTGACCATCAGCCAGCCTTAGCTGAGTCCCATTGCTACGTGAGACCACGCTGCCCCTTCTTGGGGCTCCAGAGAAAAGCCAGCCTCACTGGAGTGCTTGACTTCTCTGACAGGTTTCAGCAGACAAGGGCGAAGCTTCCACTGAAGAATGTGTGTTTTCGTTCTGTGGCTGGGAATTAAAGACAGAACCGCACAAATGATGACTACCTACTTCTTAGATGAGCTGTCACCACTTGTTTCAAACCCACCTGGACAGTCACGGACTTCAGCCAACCTGTTGCCTTATCCGGCCCCCATGTACTTGTTCTTCACTCGTTTGCTGTCTAAAGCATGATAAAGTTACAAATGGCAGGCATGGCCTTGCGGGAGAAGCAGCTGTGCTCGTCCTCCCACTCCCCCACCGCCGGCTCTGTCAGTCTCTAGTGCAATCCGCTGCGCTGGACTCCTGCTCCACGGCTGTGGCTGGTGGTTCTGGGCAAGGGTCCGCTGTACAGTGTAGTGCACATCACCTCAAAGTTCCAGCCCCTGAAGTACAATCCTTTTGGTCATTCATATATTACAACCCTCTTTTTTTTTTTTTTCTTTTTTTTCCCCCCTACCCCATTTTGTTAAAAAAAATAAAGTTTTTTGGGTGTTTTCAGGTTTTGTTTCTTCTGATTTTCCTTCTTTCTTCTGAGCATGTGGGGAATATGGTGGTTCATGGGCCACCTCTTACTGGATCCCTCGAAAGAGACACATAGCAAAGATCATGGCAAACAGCTAGGAAGAGAGGGGAAGAAGAGGGCAAAAAACAAAACAGAGAACCACAAGAGTCAGCTGCATCTTCCACAACATTGGCAAAGCCCTCCCTGGTCCTGGGACTGCTCCTGCCCCTCCCTCCTGCCCAGCAGTCAGTGACAAAGCGAAGGGAACCCTTCTCACCACCCAGGAGAGGCTTGTCAAACCTTTTTTTTTTTCCTGAAGGCAATCCCTCCCCTCCTTCCCTGTCCCCCCCCCAGCTGTTGTGGCTACAGCAGCAGCCTGACTTCACTCCCACACTGCTCTTAGTGTCACAGGGGAGCAGGCTCTGCCAACCTTGTCTGCACATCACTGCCACTGCCTGGAACAGGCACAGCGCGGCCTTTGTGGAGGCTGCTGGGGCTCTCTGCCCAGACCTCTCTCCTTTACCTGAGACAGGGGACAGGGGAAAGCACCGAGACTTGCCCCGGCAATGCTTCAGGGACATCACTTCTAGGCTAATATCATGTCTGGTGGAAGCCTGTTCCTCAGAAATACCACCGAAGCGCCAGGTACTAATGCAGGATGCTCTGGAGCCAGTAGTGTTTCAGTCTTTAAACAGGAGTTTAGAACAAAGGCAGAGTGTGAACACATTAACCAAGTGAGAGTTCAGTCAGCTGCCAGGGTGATGAGGGCAGTGACCGTGTGGGGCCCTGGGGCAGGCGGTGGGTGCCCAGAGCCCCTCCGGACAGCGTGGCAGGGTGCGAGCTCCGCGGCGGACCCAACATGAGGCAGCACTGCAGGGCCGCGGCACTGCGGGCACATGGCACCCTTATTTCCCTGCCTTTCGTGGCAAAGGACCAAGCACCCAGCCCTTTTCAGGAAAGGAAAACCACAAGTTTATAACCTTTGCAGGAGCAGCTTCCCCTGGCAAGAGGGAGCACCTGCCCGCTTGCCTCACTGCTAGACAACAACTGACATTGCTCCTGTTCTAGTCACACAAGGGTAAGTACCTCAATAGCCAACACTCCGATGGCAAGGGCTCCTGCAAGGTACACGTAGGTCTCAAAGGAGTTCAGGATCACAGTGTAGCAGCCCTAGGAAGGACAAAACATGTTGAGACACACCTGACCAGCACATTGTGCTGTTCTCATAGCATAGCTCTCATTAGCACAAGAGGTGCTCTCAGATCTAGGCACCACAAGCACAGCTCCCTCTCACCTCCTCACCCAACCCCAGGAGGCAGAGACCCACAGGACAGTGCTGGGAGGGGAAGGTTTTGCTGTAGTGGGATGGGAGTCGTTCACGCCCTCACTGACCATGAGGAACTGTGACTTCTTGCAGGGCAGAGAGGAGCAGCCCAGGAGAGGCACTCTGCAAAGGGTGGAGACCAAGCACAGAGGAAAGGACCCTCAGGGCAGATGACAGGCAGCCCAGGTTAGCTAGAGAAAAGGACAATTTATTTAAAGCCAAGACAGGAGATTCTTGAATCCTCTCTTACATCCCAGGACCTTTTCCCTGTGCTTTCCCCCAAAGCAGCATGGATGAACACCTGCTGATCTTCTGGCTGTAGGAGAATTAATTTCATCAGGAACCCAGGGCCATGCACTACAGCAATCCTTCTATTTACGCAGAACAGCCACCATCATCTTTAATGTAATTTATTATTGCTTATACAATTAACAGCAGGTAGATCTTCTGCAAAGGTTTTGGGATGTTTCTGGAAATTACCAGCTTATCCTCAGTTCTCCTAGCCTAAAATTCCAACCCATCAGCAAATTTCTGCAAATAAGTCACCCATAAAGAGAAAAGTAGATTGGAGTTTGTCCAATGTAAAAACCAGCTCTCCTCCCCACTGAGCATATACTTCACACGCACACGTTTAATCCCATCCATACTGCTGGGATGTTTCAGTCACCTGATCTTTTTCCTTCCACCCATAAAGAAAATGTCTGAACTTCAAAGACAGCACAACTGTTATGTACTGGTGTCCACGCCAGACCCCACTCACTGCAAGTGACACGCAACCAGAGGACAGCAAGGGAGAGCACAGAGAGGATCCACTCATGAGGCAGACCCAGGGAGTGCAGACTGTTGGGCCAGTAACTGAGCTGTTAAACCACACTCTTGTCAACATGAGATAGTTCAGCAGCAGCTCTGTTCCGAACACGTTTCAGCCCAATTTTCCGGGAAAAGCATCCAGCCCAGCAAAAAAATGTTTGGGTGCTTGCCAGAGCTTCAACTTTAACCCAACTTCCAGCATGTACCATTGAGCTGGCTACAAATGCGGATGAGCACAAGTGCGGCCGGCACTGTCCTACCAGCATCGTGTCCCAAGAGCTTGACTTCAGCCCAAATGAATTCAGCCATCAGTTGCTTGGGAGTGTCTCTCCCATTTTACAGAAGTGCCTCACTGTGTGCTTGGTGACACTGGCTGTGCATATGGCTTCTCCCACTAACACTCTGTGGTGACAAGGGCTCACAGGCAACATTCCCTTTCGATGTGGTAGGCCTCAGCATCATCACTTAGGGAAAATTAAACCTTTTATCTGCTTTAACCCTCTTTCTCAAAATGCATTTCTCTTTACCCTGCTATTTGTCATCTCCCTCCTCTCTCTCTCCCCCTTCTATTCACAGCAATCAGACCTGGCAGAAGCAGTACGGGGCTGTCTGCCATGATCTCTCACCCAGAGTGCCTTTGTCAACCATTTCCAGCTGCCAGGCAAGGAACAGCTCACATGCTGCTTCCAAACTCCTTTACTCTCGTGCACAGTCAAGTGCTGAAAAGAGGACCACTGCTTAGTCTGGAGAGAAAAGGAGGCTTGTACATACAGTCAGTACAGAGCTCAGCTGGCTTATCAATGCTGAGGTGAACACAGTCAGGAACTTTGCTAGAAAGTTCCTTAAACATCCCATCTTGGTGACATTGTAAGGAAAGATGACTATAGTATCAGTGTCGATGACTATAGTATCAGTGTCAATGACGTTATGCTGAACTGTCTTGTTCCAGTCTAGAATTGGGAAAAATCGCCACGTCAAGAGGCCTGGCAAAAAATTGCCTTTCTTCTATTGTAAAGAGTACAAGAGCAAAGAAATGCAGCTTTCCAACACTTACTCTTCCTTGAAAAACCAACATGGCTTTCTGTGGCTGTTTAACCCTTGATGCCTTAGTTGCATATGTTATTGATGAGGAGTCTTTGTGAACTAAACTGGAGGCACTACTGCAGCCAGTAAGAGTGAACTCCATCCCATCCTTGCTGACCTGTGCTGGTTTGGCTAACTAATTTCTCACAGATAGTACTAACCTTCAGAAACACAATAAAACTTGATGTAAATTTCCATCTCACCTCTCAATCCCTTGGGAAAATCTTCTATTTCTGCTGATCCAGCACAACGTGGACTTAGCAGTGCACACAATGAAAGGGGGTTTTTAAAATGAGACATATGCCATGACTTCAAAAGCTGTGAGCAGAAGTGAAATTAGGATATGACCTACAGTCAGAATGGCACGGCCTGCCAGCTTTACCCATGACCATTGCAGCCATCTCTTTGCCTGCTCTGAAACTCCTTTTCTCAGTGTTCAGCTTCCCTTACCTGTCGGTTCTGAAACCTCTCAATGCCTGTGAGGCAGGCTTCCTTGTCGACAAACACCCCTTCCTGGCTCTGGAGCTCTCGCTGGCAACAAGCCTCTGGTAGTGTCTTTTCCAAAGAAGAGTATAGAGGATGAGGGACAGCTTCGAAATCTTCTGGTCCGTTCACTCCACAGCAGGCAAACTAGGGAGAGGCAAAGAGAAGAAAGGAAGGCAGAGCTGACACTTTGCTCTGAAAGCACATATGAGAAATCTACCAAAGACCTATTCTTGTAGAGATCAAAGCTTTAGTCAAAGCAGAGACAAAACAACCGTTGTTTCCAAAGAAGTGGGTTGTGCTTGTACCTTGCAGCTTCTGTTTCATCAAAGCCTTTTTATAAAGTCCCACTGTTCCCATATCATATTGTAGACTCTAAGGTACCACTGGGAATATTGCCGCGAACTACACAGGGCTTTGGAGCACATCCAGAATGACTTGCTTGAGATCACCTAGCAAGTCTGTAAGGGAGCCAGCAGCACAATCCAGGCTCCCGACCACCCGTTCTCCCCATAGCTAATGGCCAGGACTGTTGCTGCTCAAAGGCACTGACAGGTGATTCAAGTAAGGTCCCTTTTTAGAATTCAAGTCAGGTCCTTTTTAAGGATTCAAGTCATTCTCTGACTCTGTCTCCTTTCAGTCAGCAAAAGGAAATGTCTTTATTAAAGTCCTGAATCAGCATTAAGGGCAGCAATCATCTTTTCTTTTAAGATTAAAATTGACTTTCATTGGCAGAGCCTGACATCCTGCTCTTCGCTCCTGAAGAGATACACCATGGGCTGTACTGAGCACCAAGTTCACATGTGTACACACACACACACGTACAGAACTTCTTGTAGTAGATAACAACAACTCCAATTCCAATGACAGTCAATCTGTAACCTGCCTGATTAGGACTGTAATAACAAAGTAAATTTTGATGGCTAATACTTCTACACTGAAAATATACCATTAGGCACACTTCTACCTAATCTGCCACCTACCAACTCATTTCACAAGAGCTAACAAAAAGCCATTAGTCAGCACCACTTTCTGTCTGCTGTTGGCTGGGAATTGTTCTGAAGTAGCCTCCAAGGTGAAAGCTCCAGGGTAAATGCAGAGATGCTCAGTTGCAGACAGCTCCACAGCTTTCTGTGCTCATTGCTTGAAAGCTGGGGGTACCCAGTCAGGTCGAACACCTCAGGCTGACGCAGCCACTGGGAGCATCTCTCAGGATAGATGGCAGCTTGCTTTGAGAAACACCGGCTGCCAGATGAATTCTCATCTCCCTCCCACCACTGCCACAAACCCCAGTGTTATGCTCAACACCACAGGATGGCTGAAGCAAGCTGACCCCAGGCGAGCTGAGGGTGTGGGCTGAGCACCGTGTTGATGGCCACTGACCATGGGCAGCATGGAACTGGCATGGCTGGACTTACTGTGATCATAACAGAGTTCCAGGTGGAAGAGAAGACGTCCGTGTCATTGTTCCTCAGGTAATGCTTCTTCAGCTCCTTGGTGAAAAACTCTCTGGTCAGCTGAAACACACAGACCGACAGAAATGTAAAGGCTACTGCCAACACCTTTCCAAAGCCCTTCCCAAAGCTCCTTTCTGTGAATGCTGGGGGTTGTTTGGTTGGATTGGTTTTGTTCTTTTTTTTTTGCAAACCTCAGAGAAGAAACATGGGAAAAGCCACTGGCTGAACCAGAACTATATCCAGGGTGAATGGCACCTGTTGAATAAAACTGCTGCTCATTAAAAATCAGGGATTGAATTATATCTATGCTTGTAAGATAATATTTACACTTAAAGGTTGGTTCAGTTTTTAAATTTTCAGCACTATTTGAAAGTGTTTCATAAGTTGAAACAGGACTAAACCAGATTTTAGAAAGATCTTCAAATCCACACCCAAATAGTAGTTTAATTTACTCAGGTCTGCAATCAAAGCATGATTTTCCCCTCACTTTTCATTTGAAACCAGTTAACTTCCTACTAAGATAGGGGAACTGCTCTGAATTTACTTCCATGTGTGAGAAAACAGATGAAGCCCTAATATGAAACCTTCTGTAAATGAAAAGGAAGTAAAAACCACATAATTAATATGAAATGTTGAAGTCAACTTACAAATCAGAAAAAAAGGCCATTTCCCTGACAACACTTTAGATTATCGAAACTAACCCACACACATGAAGAAAAAAATCCTCTTTATATTTCCAGTGTTTAGATAATGTAAACATTTTCCCAAGTTCAACAACATGAATGAATGGAATTTCATCTACTCCTGTTTACATTTACAGAAAAACAGAAAAACTGAATTAACATTTTGGCTCAGAGTCATCTCAAAACATTGACATCTTGAAATTAGATTTATTTAGCATCACTCTCTGGAGGACTAGCAAATATACAAGTTTAATAGTCTTGTTAAATTGAACACCCCAATCCAATCTTGTTGCTTTTCTGTCACTTCAGGATGAAAACTTCATGGAATCTCCTTTTCAGGTTCCCAATAGGTCTTGACTTGTGTGGTACCTTCTCCAAAACACCTTGTGATTTGTGATCCACACAGGCAAAATCTCTCTGCCACTGCAGAACCTCAGTGAAGGGGGCTGGACTTGGCTGGATACAGCGTTGCTCTAGTGTTGCATATTTGCAGGATCAGGAGTTAAGCTGCTGGAAAAAGACCCCCTTTTTTTTTTTTTTTCTGTTGTTCATACAGCACTGCAGATGCAGTAGCATATACTGCTGCAAGTTGGTTTCAGGTTCTTGATATGCAACGTGAAATATCGCACATACACATACATATGGGTGGGCACCAAAGCACAAACACAAAATTCTTTGTTTCCTTTTTAACTGTGTCACAAAATTTAAGGAAAAAAGAGGCTTTGGTGACTCTTTCAAAGAGTGCTCAAACACCACTTAAAATTGATTTTTCTTTTACAGGTACAAACTAAGGCCAAATTTAATGACTAAATCAATACTGGGTAAAACTTCATCATAAAGACTTGAATTATGCAGGTAGCTCAATCTCATTACCTTTTTGTTAGATATGCCGCTAAATTCCTAAATCACTTTCATGGGACAGATACTAACTAATTTTTTGCTTTTGAATATTAAAATACCAGAGGACATGGCATTTTCCGTTGGGAATTTGGTGCACTGAGAGAGGATCAGGTTAGAAGATACTGAATATGCCCTCAGTGCTCTCCTTTTCTTCCCTTTCTCCGAGTACTTTATCCATGCAACATCCTACCCTGCAGAGACAGAAGCACTTTTTTTGATGCTGGTCTGTTTCTGAAGCCCAGACTTTGAAACTGATATTACCATTGGTAATAATCGCAGCTGACTGCCTTTGGCGGGGTCTAAAACAAAAAGAGTCATTTAAATATAAAATGAAACCTTTATTTTGACAGCAGCAACCCCAGAGGAAATTGTTCAGAGTTTGTGTGTAATTTTTACAAGATTTGGCCTAAAACAAAGGCAAGTGCTGGAAGGATAAGTTTGCCAGGAAAATAACTGATTCCATTTTGTTGCTCTTAGACTGTTTGTCCGGAGTGTCTGAAGTTCAGAAAAATGTAAAAAAAAACAAAAACCAAACACACAATCAATCAGCAGAAGCATCTTTCTTCTTTTAAAAAAATTGCTGACAAAGGAGGATAAAAGTCAGTAAGACAGTCCTACTCACATGCCCACAGCCTCCCTCTCCCTGAAGCTAGTAACAGCACTGATGAGGTCTGTGCACATGAGAGGAATATGGCAAGAACTCTTCAAAAGAAGCGTAGGACCTACTAGTAAAACTAGATCTTCGCACATGCTTCTGACAACACAGTTATACCAGCCACAGTCATGAACAATAAACAGCTGTTCAGCTGTGGGGTTTTTCTAGCTGTTCGGGGGGGAATGTCTTCAATACAGAAGATGCACATGCATGCATACTTTTACATGCCAGTGAATGAAGTGGGACTGTTTTGTCATACTGGTTCAAAAAATAGCTTGGCTGGGATTACTGCAGTCAGATGAAGGGAACTTAGGATGAAGCGGACATTTCTGCACAACACAGGTGCGCTGGCACTGGCCAGGAAGGTCACAGACTTCTCATGCAGTGCTGTGTTCAAGAATACTGAATGCTGTGCAAGAAGCTGGCTTCGTGGTGTCTGCTTGGAAAATAGGACACACACTGTCCATCTGCATCTGCCTGGAGCATCCCAACATTTCTGAAGCCGTATGACGCCTGTATTGTAGGTACAGTCACCACTGCTGCACTTTTGACTTCCACAGTGCCTTCCATCCAAGAGACCTCCAGGGGGAATAATTGCTTGAGATGACTTGGGAATTAAACTTACATTAAAGGTACAGCACCGTTCACACATTAAAGAAAAGTACAAAAGCAGAGGGCAGCGGGTACACAAGGAATCCATTCCACAGAAGGTCCCTAGGCAACTTAGGTGTTGGCAACATCAGGGGAGCTTGATGTGCTGACTCTGAGAGGGAATAGCACGGAGGGTGGAGCTGAGTGAAGACTCCATGGCCAGGCTCTGTGATACCACCGCCGGGACGGCAACTTGATGGTACTACGGAACAGATAAGCTGCATATTTGCTACCCTGGGGCAACACACTGTCATTCTTTGACAAAATACCAGCCTTTGGGTGAACTTTGCTCATTGTAATCTCATTATAATCCCAAAAGCTACCCACCTTCAAGGTACGACCACCCCTCACTGAGCCTGCGCTCTTAATTCCTCTAGTCTATACCTTTAAAAGCAAAGTGAGAGAATTTTACACCAATCATAATAAAGGGATGTATGACTAGAGTTACTCAAGCTCCGCCTGAAAGGTAAAAAATAGTATAAAAATAGCTAATAGAAGGATGTTAGGGAAGATACCATCGATGACAAGACACACACCACTTAGACTTGGGATCAGTCAATGGGCTGAGACTCTCTTTGCCCCCATAGGGATGCCTTTGGGTAAGACTCCAACACTTGGTTATACCAAGTGCTCCCCAGAAAACTTAGAAATCTACACAGAGTTGCTTTTATAACTTAGTGTGTTGTATAGCCAGGCTTTGTTATTTTTATCTGAAACTTGCATGAGCTTTGCAGACAGTGAATTTATCACCAGCACTCCAAAGAACTTGTGTATCTGTTGCTGCTCCAATAAACTGCTCTATCATTAATCTAGCCATGTGAGTTCTTTTGAATGCAACCACAGTCCTGCATGTGGCTGTGAGTTTCGTTGAGCGCTGCTAGACTAATGATACAGCGACTCTAATCGTGATAGTTCAATTATCAATCTAGCTGTGTGACCTGTTAAGCACCACTAGACTGATATTGGACGTGACCAGACTCATAGAGCAGAATTGGGCATCACTCAGAATCTAAGCCCAGCTGCCCCCAGCCCCTCTGATATCTGAGGACAAGCTGGAATGCAAGAGGGTTTATTTTCTGCCAAATTCCTTTGCCCTTTAATGCGACACTCCAGCTGCTCAACTCGGGGATGGACGGTTCATATTCTTTAGGTTTTGCCTTATGCCTTTTGAAACAGAGGTATCAGGAACCAAAGCAACTTGTCTATCAAGTGTCAGAACTGGGGCTAAAAATCCAAACATCCTGACTCTGTCCACAGCCTTGACACTGGATTCATCTGTTCCTACCATCCTACTTTCTTGCTTGCTAAGAAAATTCACTAAGAGTCAAATATCGCTCCAGGGTTTTTCCCATCCAGACCTCTGAAGGGCACATAAAAGAGCAATTCCTGTACATGAGTCAAATTGCTTTTTCACAGCTTCTCTCTATTGTTCATGGAAGACATTATTTTATGGAGGGTCTTCTAGATGGAAAAAGGTTCTCCACCCTCCAAAACCTCCCTTACAAAGGAAGAGAAACTTTGGTACTCCCATAGCTGATTAACAACAGCCTTCTTTTGCAGACTGCTTTTAAACGGTTCTTTGGGAGTACAACTGGACTTGCAGATCACAGTAGCTCACCGTTGCAAACACCACTTTCACTCATCCCCCCACCACATTCTGCTTCACTGACTCTTCCTATCATGTCAAATCTCAGCAGAAAACATCTCTTTTCTCCCTTATTTTTGTCTCAATTTCTTTCACTTCCTCAGCTATTAATAATTTAACTCTGCTGAGTGTTTGGGAGCTAGTTTGGATGTAAAACACTATACAAGAGAAAGCTGCACTAAACATTATCTGGAAAGCGAACAGATAGACTATTTTTCTCTTTTGTCTCATTTTATGCATCCGGTGAGGCCACAGCCACACAGACAGGTGCACTGACCATCACAGGAATCTACCTGGTAAGCTTCCAAGAAATTCAGGTTGCCTAAATGTGCATTTACCACCACACGCCTCAAAAGTAACTTGTTTTGCAGGGAAGAGAAAAGCACATCTGAACCCGACCTTAAATTGCTACTCTGAAGAAATCTTCCTGACATGGGGTCACTGAAAGACCATCTCTGTCCCCACAGACTTCCTGTCCAGCCATCCAGCCTCACCCTACCCCAAAGACGACAGCAAAATTAGCCACAAGTAGTTACCAAGCCAGAGGAGCTACCACCAAAATACATAGCAACAGCAAAACAAGGGGTTTGGGTTTTGGGTTTTTTGTTTTGGCTTGTTTTTTGGTTTTTTGTGTTTTTTTTTTTCCAGAAGAAACCTGAGGAGAGAACAAACCACAAGAATTTGCAAACTAAGTTTAACTTCTGCACAGAGCCACCTCCAGCTATGTTAGGATCTGACATTCTTCATTCCTTCCCATTAACACAAAATCCCTTCCTGTCAGTCATTCTGACAAGAGTGGGAGGCTGGTGATACAAACAAGGAGACAAGCTCAAGAAAGATAGAAGTTTGTTCCCCTTCAAGTTTTATCTCACAAAACACTGCCAGATGCCACAGAAGTCTAGAATAACCACTGTGACCTTATCTTGTAAGATAACACATCCTCACGTGTCCCACGGCTTCTGTGGGAGTGCAAGGTATCAATGCTTTGCCCAGAAGCAAGACGTAAGCAGGCTCCTCATGACCGAGGGAAGAGGACACAGCCAGCCCAGCAGTCACCCTGCAGACAGGATTCACAACCAGCCTGGCTAGTTTCTTCTACCTTTTACCAGTTTCTCACAGGGAAGGTGGGAGGTGGGAGCAGTAAGCTGCTGGCTGCTCGCCCAGCCCCTGCTCACCAGGGACCGTGTTCTCTCTGTCGTGAAGCCTGTACATGGGTCTGCAGGGCAGTTTCTATGTGTGCGGTCTGCTGCTTATGCTGAACCAAAAGGATTCTCTAAAAACTCCCAACAGCAGAACTGTAATGACCAGAACAGACCAGACCCCCCATGCTGCAAGCTATTTATGAAGCAGTAGCTGTTCACATGAGGGCATGGTCTCAAAGCCTAAGCTGGAACAAGGAACCCACTCTGTGCACAGAGTGCTGTCCCTTCTCCACTGCCTTCAGATCTGAGACAAAGGGAAAAGACTACCAGCTTATAAAGGGGGAAAAAAAATGCTCTCACTACCTGCCCCCAAGACCATCCTACTGCACAAACACCACACTGGCTTGCTGTAAGCTTCCTAAGTCTTGATTCTTTCCTTATCAAAACGTTTTTATATTAATAAAATTGAAAGTATATTCTGACTCAAGAAAGTCATCATTATACATGGCTCTTCTATGCTCATGTTACATCTCTGTCACATTCAGTACAGGGAATATACTCTTACTGCTGGCAGAGGCCAAATAAACTAAATAAAAACTGTCACTAGTAGTGACCACCTCTACTGGCCAATGTTTTTTTACAGCCATCACTCAGAGTCATATTTCCAAAGATGGTCTGACTTGAGAAGGATGGAGCTAGTTCAGTCAGGTTCTCCTTTGCACATGCGGAACATGAAAAAAATGCACAAACCTTTCCTGGTTAGAAACAAATGAGACTATGCTTACTACTAGTGTAGTACAAGCTTACTACTAGTATAGGGGAGGGATGATGGCCATATAATATGCATAGCAGCAGAACAGAGAAAGGCTACATCATATGAAGCTGTGGAGGGAAGGACCAGCAACTTGTAAGCAGGGCAATATGCAAGGCATCCATTGCTGGGACTCAAAATGGGACATGGGGAGACTTGCTCAGGGCAGGTCAGAATGGATATCTTACAAGCAGCACTGAGAAAAATCCGGTGAGCATGAGAACAGGAAAATTCAAGCAGGAATATGATCAGAAGATTCACAAGAGAGTTTTTGCACTGCAGAGCAAGCATTGGCTCTGTTGGGAAAACAGGAGGTTTCACTATTAATAGTAATATTAAACACATGCTGTATTGAAAAAAGAAAAGGGTTGCTTTTAACCTTAGCATGACTTTATTATAAAACTTCTCTCTGGTGGAATGTGCAGCTGGTTTGGCTGCAAAAGAATCAGGAAGACTCTAAAAACTTCAGGATTTAAGTAGTCCCCCAGTATATAGCTCCTGTATACATAAGCCATCCACCCTGCACATGCCAGGTTAGTTAGCCTTCACTGGCTTGCTGGCAGTTCTGCAGACTGAGGCTAGTAATGAACAGGTTTGGTGGTATTTGAAACAAACAGTCGCTCTACAAACGAATCAGCCACCATCTAACACCATGCTGCAGCTGGGTACAATCCCACTGGGGTTCAGAGTTTGCCCACCATTGGATACTTACGTTTTCTCTGAAGATAAAAGCCAGGATTGCAGCTGAAAGTTCCGCCAGGAAGATTAACAAAATAAACATGAAGAACTGGAAGAGAGAAGATAAAAAAAAAAACAAACCAACAAACCACAGACATACCATTAGGTGCATGCAATAGGTAGTAGGAACACAGGGTTTTGCTAGTCACCAAAAAGATGGAAAAAATAACTGAGGAAACTTTTTTTCCCTTGACAATTAAAAAAACCCTATGAGACAGTAACTTGGAGCAGACATAGCCCCTCTCTGACCATGTCACAGGACAAGGGAGCTTGTGATGCTTTTATCTGGTTCTAAGGGGTAAAAGGGAATAAGGCTTCGGGACTTGTAGCATCCCCTGATAAATCTGCACCAGGTTAAAACAGTAAAGCCTACTTTGATGGAAAAAGTAATATCACTGTGTAGATGCTCATACAGGGTTAAACTGTCCTGACACAGGTGTATGCATCACATGCATACACCTACATATGCACACACACCCTTCTTCACAACATAAATAGCATAATCATTTTAATGTAATATGACCATGGCCCATTTTGTATGGAAGGAGGTAGTGTACTCAAATATTTACACCTATGACCAAAAGTGGACTCTACAGATTATTCTGCATTTCAGGACAAAATTAGGTGGTTAATATCCCCCTCCACACAATGCACTGAGTTAAGTATTAACTATGCAGAACCTCTGCAGAAAGTTGATAACACACCATCATAATTTTAATTTGATTACACAAGTATCATCCATGTCTTGTATAGTATCCAAAGTGTGCACATTCATATCCTTAAATAAGGGCAGACTGCAGACCTGACAGAAAGCAATAGCCAGCAGCTTGAGTGGTAGCAGAAGAGAAACAGGCATCCAGTCTGAAGTAAAACCATTATACTTATGTCATCATAATTCTAGGGAAGAGAAATGAAAGCAAACAAAGGCATGTGGTTGTTCAATTTAAGCTGGAACTGTATTTTTATCCTGCTGCCCTTGCAACCTACTGCTGCTTTGGTCTAACAGTCTGGTCTTCAGTCTTATTAAAAGCATCTTGCTTCTGTGATGTTACCAAGCCTGAGCGATTCACTGTGCCTTCACCACCCACTCCACAGAATTAAATCAGATGCACTTAGGTCTCATCCCCAGAGCGACTGATGTCTTGCTGCAAGGGTGCTGTCCCCAGGACCTTGTCTACCCCGAGCGCCCAGGTACTGTGGAGCATTTCCTGCCTGTGATGAGTGCTGGGACTCCTCTGGGCTCCCAGCTCGGACCCTCCTGCCCAGAGGCGGCACAGAAAACTGTTACACAGCTAGAGGTAAAACTCAAGTGGAGAGGAAAAGAGTGTTGACGGGAACAAATCTCCCAGGGCAAGAAAGCACTCACTGACATCAAAGAGCTCAGAACTCAGCCTGTCTTTGGGACTGATTCTCATTTACATTGATGCCTCATGCTAGTTAGATGCTGCTTCAGTCCATAACAAACAGTAAAAGGAATACACAGGGATGTGTCCTCTAACATCCTTAAATCAACAATTGTTGGTGCTGAGGAACTCCTATGGGAACAGAGCAGAAAGTGGCTAGGCTCACGCCCTCTTCCAAAATGGCATTTATTTCCATTCTTAGAGACAAAATAGTGGGCTTGAAGAACTGTAAGTCTGAACTAGAGGTACATTTTTTATGTTCTTGTAGCCATAAAGAGAAATCACCATTTAAGAGTCAGCCCTTCTAAAATTCAAGGATCCCAATAACTAGCCTACAGACTCAAAGATGATTTTGCAAAACTGAGTGAATGTGTAGAAATTAACTCAGATTTTGGCACCACGTGAGAAAACAGGAGTGAAGGGAGAACACAGTAAGACTACATTACATGGAGGGTAATAAACTTGCGGTACGTGTTACCAACAAAAGTGGCTGAAGTAACAAGTAGAAATAAACATAAGAGAAGTCTGGATGGATTTTTTTGTGTGAGAAGGTTATTGAAGGTCTTTCTGAAACAGAAGGCAGGTAGATGGGGCCAGAAGTACTATTGTGATCCCCAAGCAATGACATAAACATCTGAAATGCTACATGCCATGCATTTTGGTAATGGAGAGAGAATTCAAACTACTTGCTTGGAATGGGCAAAATGTTGTTTTGTTGTCAATTATCAGAGCTGTAAGTGATTTTTCCCCACTGGAAAAGTGCACGCACCACCCTGTCCCATTTGTCTTCCTGCTTCTGCAGTGGAAACAAAAGAAAAGAAGCCTGGGCTTAAATGGCAAAACAAGAAGAGTCAGATGACCAGGGACTTTGGTTGCTAACAGAATGCTGTTGCTTGATTTTGCTGAACTAGTTAACTCTATAATTTATTCTTACTGCTGGAGTTTTCTGCGTGGCTTCTTTTTTCCTGCTCAGAGACTGTTTTGTTTTTAATTTCACCATAGGAGGGCAAAGACCAAGTGATGAGAATGAACGATGCTCTGCAAATTCACATCATCATCCATCAAGGGATCTCAGCATAGTCACTAAGAGGTCTAAGGTGGTGATCAAGTGATTAATCCCATCACCCTGCTAATTGCATTTCATTTACTGATTACTGGGAGACACATGTTCACCTAAGCTCCAGCACAGGTCTTGTAGAAGTGGAAGCAGCCATTCCCAGATTATCTCTGATAAGCTTCATTATCATTCCCAAACTGATTTACACTTCCATTGTGCAGTCTGCACTACAGATTTGTAACGGTTACTGTAGAAAAAACATGAGCAGCCATTAGGGCTGATGAGAAAAAGAAGATGGATCATCAGTGGTTCAGACCTTGCTCTCATACTGCATTCTAAGGAGAGTCAAAATCTGCCTATTATGTCTTGCCTCCCAAAATTAAACTGATTACTGGTATATGAGAGCACTAAACGGCCAGCTGGTTAATGCATGGGACACAGCGGCTTCCCATTCAAATTCATGCTTGAGATCCAACAGTTGAACACTGGTACCCCCCACATCCAAGGTGAACATCCTGAGGAGTGGGGTCTCACATGTTGGTCAAGAATCCTGCCTCAGCTCCTGGTGACGGTTTATCAGAAGTCTCTACAAATCAATATTTCATGTTTCTTTTTCACAACTCATCTACTGTTCAAGTTTCAGCAATGCTGTTCCAAAAAGAGCAGCAACTGCCTTTAACCCAAGGACACACATTTTCATGCTGCAAAGCTTCAGGGGCTACCACATCCATTTTACGAGAGTGCAAAACAGGACATCTGCACTCAAACCTAAGCCAAATGAAGCTAACATGGACTGTTCCTGTTGCAAAGCTGAATTCAGTCCTGTGGTACAACGTTGTACACTCAACAACATTTTCAATTCTGATTTTTACTGTGTTCCTTTGGAGTCAGAGTGTCCTTAGGACAATACAGAAGTTATTTAGTGCCTGATTTGCAGGCCAATGTTGTTGCTTTTTGTGAGCCAACTTCAAATGCTGGGAAATCTCGAAACTCTTCACAGCCTTCTACTTAATGCAACATGTTAGGTTCCACAGTAATGTTTTTTTACTAAAAGACAAGCAGCTTAATGAAAAATAGAAGTCCTTGCAAACACAGAAGCCAGAACCTAGAGAACATACATTTTTGCATCTGTCTTGTCCCTTCTATCTTCTGTTTACATTTGGACTAAAAGCTTCAGATATACATTATGCATCTCTGTGAAATCTCACTCAAGCAGCTCTCTGGCTCATCAATTCTTTAACGACTTTGTAAGCAGACTTGATTTGATCTAGCAACTTCTCCCCAAGTACCACCCCCCTGAAGTCTAACACTCCATTTTGCAACATATTCCCAGCCTCTCTGGCATACACTCATGAATGATTTGCCTTTTCAATGCCTAAAACTTGCTCCCATCAGACTTCTGTTCTCACAGATGTTTTATGCATTTTAACGTCAGCTAGTGTGGCCCCCAAAAAAGCAGACATTAGCAACCTATCTCTTCTCACTTGGTATCAGCACTGATCCTTGTCCAAATGCTTCACTGCTGTTGGACATGAGATAGCAGGTTGTTTAACAGAGTTGACTTTGATATCAGAAGCCCTGGAAGACCTGATCAAAGTGGAGCACTAATTCCTCATCCAGTAATTACTTTTAGAGTTTCTCCTAGTCTGCGGCATTACCCCAAGCCCGTATATTTCTCACATTCCAAGTATAAAATAAAATAATAATAAAAGTAAATAAATAAAGCAGCAGGGCTCAGAACTATCTCTAAGAGTCAGAAAAGTAATAACCACAAAATTGAGTGCACTGGAATATAACTAAAACACCAGGAGGAACATTTGAACAGTGATGTAACTCTGTGATGTTAAATTGGGAAAGAGCATGGCCCAGAGCTCCCTTCCTCCAGCCAGGTCTCCAATCTGTATGCAGCAGACATGGTCCAAACAGAAAATATTACTCTCCCATTCACTTACAATCAATACTTCTCATCAAACATAATTTTCAGTTTCTTAATCTGACAAGGACAGGCTTTGAAGCAACCTCAGGCTCATTGGGCCTGATCCTTTGCATTTTATTATGTTCCTCTGGGCAGATCTCCACGACTTCACAGGCAATACATTTGGTTTTCTGATTTACTTCTGAGGTAAGTCACTAGAAATCAAACCCACAACAGCTTCCAGAAAAGGGCTCACATTTGCAGTTTATGAGGCGTGAGTGAGCCAAGGGCCAGAGAGAATTTATCTCAGTGAAGCCACTCTCATGTCTAGGAAAAAACAGTTTTGCATTCAAGAAAGAGGACTTTCCTGTTCCGTTTAAAGTTAGAGACAAGCCTCTTTTGCACCTTGAAGCAGCTGTGCAAGATACAATCATAACAAAACACCCTAAGATCAAGATTTAAAGAAAAAAAAAAAAAACACAAAAGAAAAAAACCCCAAAGCCCCAACAGACCCAGAGGGAGAAACAAAAGGTCATGTTTGACAAAAATGAAAAATAAAACAAATTATTTTTGTCTTTCAGTACATAACTGGTAATGTCTTCTGGTAAGAGATAATAGCTGGAAATCCTGCAGTATCAGAACTTACAACGGAGGTCAGAAGTGACTTATTTTAGAGGCTAGCTCTTTGTAAATCGTACTTGATGATCAGATGGGCTGAAATTTAACCTTATGATTCAGGGGAAAATTTGCCTGATGATAACAAATCTGGTTAATTTTAGGGGCAGAGCAGGCTGCATGAGGGAGTGACCAGCTATTGAGATCTGCAGTGATAGGCCACCACGGAGTTCTGAGCCCAGTATTTCTGCTGACATGGGGGCTCTGTTGCACAGATGCTTTGCTCTACATGTTCCCCCTGCTTTTTGTGAACCACAGAGGAATGAATCCACAAGTGGAGCAGGGGGTTTTGGGTGGCTAAAAGAAGACTATTTTTGGCCACTTTATAAAAGTAATAAAACCCCAAACAACCAAACAGGACCATTTTGAAACAAAGCTTAACAAGGTCAAAGTACACTCCCAGACTTCGTACCCACTGGGCTCAAATCTGGTATAGGGGAAAAGCAAATTCTCTATTTCTAGCTGTGTGTAAAAGTACTCTAAGACTATTTATTATGCAAGGGAATAATGGGCTACAATAACAGATACTCATTCACACACTTATCACAACACCATCTGTCCAGTCATCCCCATTCTTGGGACACTTACAAAAAGCAGGAGGCATTTGTTCTCACGGATGGCACCACAGCAGCCGAGGAAACCCAGCAGAAAGAGCATCGCTCCCATAGCCAGCATGATGTACGCTCCCGTGAAGAGCAGAGGGTTGGCAGCCACTATCTCTCGAAAACCTGTGGGATCCACAATGACCCAGATCCCAACTCCCAGCAGGCATGCTCCTCCCAGCTGTCATGGCACAAGGAGAGAAGAGGGAAGGAGATAGGTCAACATAAATCAACTGCTGCAGAAAGACCAAATTCATTGCTATCTTTTGATCAAAGGTGTTCCCTTGGAGAATTTGTGTTTCTCTGTAGCATATATTCTCTGCTCAGCAGGTGACTGCTGACATGCTACTCTCAGTATCTCTTGCTCATTAAATGAACCATTTGCAGCAAAAGCACCTGTCTTCTTTGACATATCACTCTACCAACTGTTTACTCCCTTCCTAATGCTGAAAGACAGAGTGTGGAGCTGCTGCCACATCTGTAGGTGACAGCCCAGTGAAGAGGCACACATGAACCATCCCCAACACAGAGGCCAGGGCGGCTGGGTGCTCGCACCCTTCCTGTCAAAGACAAAAGCAACAGGGTCACCAAGATTGACTCCACATATGGTAGGAAAATGTCTGTGTTTCCTAGCGAAAACCTCAGCAGGGCACCCAGGACAATTTCTTCTGCCATTCAAGGACAGACCATGTACACTACTACTTAGAGCTTTCCCTCTGGTCTCCCTTGCCAAGGACAGGAATAACACAGACAACAGTGACCACGGCGCTGGATGTCTGAGCATCTTTGGATGCTACAAAACAGTGATTGCTAGTGCAAAGCTGAGGGGATATACCGTACTGTGGCAACTTTACCAAATTATAGCCTAACCTGCTGGGGAGCAGCAGGCTGCTGGAAACAGGATGATTCAGGAGAGAAAGTGGACTCTAAATACTTACAAATATAAAGAAATTGAAAAGAAACATCAGGTACTTCATGCAGCTCAGACAGTCTCCCTCCATGGTCTTCAGGCTTCTGGATCCAATTCTTCCTGCAAAACACCAGCAGTTCCTTAGCACACTCATTTTTACTGGAGTGACACAATCTTATCTCCATTTGTATTTCCCCCGAGATCCTGTGGAGTTCATTATATAGAAGAGCTCATTTCTTACCTGAACAAGGCAACATAGCACAAGCTAGTAAGAGATAATGATTGCTGCTAAGTCCTAAGACCATTCTTCCAGGTCTAAAGGGGAACATAGATGTGAAGAGGAAGGTTGCAGGGGACGACAGCTCTAGCTTTGCTTGCAGAGCAGCACGCTGGGGACAAAATACCCCTCTGCACATGATACTTTTTTCCCCAGTCTGTAAAGCACGTCAAGTCTAAGAAGCATTGAATGTACCTGCCTACTTCACGCCAGAAAGGTCACAGAAGCCAGAAAAAGCTGTGCCCATTTGAAAGACTCACAAGCAAGCGTTTGGGACAGTAAGCTCCATACAAGCTTTCTCTACAGAATGAATGCCACACAAACATGGACAACATTTTCAGGGAAACGTGTAGACACCTGAAGGAGCTGGGCTGGGAATGACTGCAGTGTGTGGACATGGGAGGGCCTGAGGAGGCTGTCCTTACACAGTTGCTCAGCCTGGTTGTCACACTGTGTGAAATGTTGCTGTGCCAGTGAAGTCCTGGTGCTCTACACCCCACCCTGCACAGGTCTTTCGCAGGCAGAGCCCACGGATCAACGTTGGTAAGCTTTTAAGACGAGGAAGAAATGCTAAGGAATCTTAACCAGTTTTGAAACTCCATGTCTGAACTAGACAACAAACTGCTTAGGACAGTACTTCTGTTGGAAGAGCAGCTATAAATCCTGACCGGGTGAGGCTACATTGGAAGAAAGTTTCTGCTTGCTGTTTACTGCAATTATATCACCATGTACCCTAGAGGGACAGACAAATAAATACATAAAATAGTAAAATTTTCACTGAAACAGAAGATAATGCAGTCATGGCACCATGCACTGATGGATGGATGCATATGCAAACACAGAGACACAAGCTTGCTTAGCTCCCTAGAGAAGCCTTCCCAAAGCCCATATGCTTCTTAACCCACCTCTTT